TTTTTCCTCGGTAGATATCACATGATTCTCGGCTGGATAGACCTTTTCCAAGAGAAAGCGGATGCGCAGTGGGAGAATTTGTTCTCGCAGGATGCTCGTGCTGGACCATCCACGCGCGATTATGAGATGATTAATCCATCATCACGAAAGGAGATCGTTAAGAGTCCCGAGCCGTTACATTCCTCAAGTCCCTCGGGTTGTTTCGATGTCCACTGTTCGACTCTCCGCAGGAAAAGGAGAGTCGGAAACATATACTCCAGAAGTGAGATATACCAGTCCCGCATTGAGTTTTTCTACGCCTCGACCTCCGAGCGCTTCACACAACCGTAATAACAATCGTTCCCCGGGCGGTCGCGATTGGAATCCACAGACATCATTTGCTCGGGGAAACCCTCAGGCTTCATACTGGTATGACGATAGCGACCGGTGATGTCTTTCATTTCAGCTGCAAAAAGCAGCAAAAAGCAAAGAAGCTTTACTTTTACCTACCACCCTCATTCGTGTAAAAATTTTTACCTATAACTCTTTTTATTACTTGGCATGTAATTCAGATTCATTCTTCACCTTTTGCATGCTGTTACATTCTCCTTATACCTTACGCCTTACTTTTCCCTCGAGTTAATTGACCTCTAATCATTAAGTCAGGGTTTACGCCTAACGCCCAAATCAACTTTGCTTCTTTACTTATTATACCTACCTCTACTTGCTACAATACTCAGGGCCTAATACGTCTTGTCCACTTTCATCATTGTCTAAATTTCAGCGCTTGCGTGTCACCATTTACTAGTACTTTCGTTCATTTTTACTTGATTCTCTTGTTGTCCCCCTCTGCTTCTATCAACTTCCTTTCTTCTCTCCCCACTTTTTTTTTTTTGTTTTTATCTTTTCAACCTGCTCTGCACATGTACGTTGTACGTATTGGCTACTCCATTCTACGTCTTACAGCGATCAAAGGCAGGATCGAGGCGAACAATGGGAAACAAAAAATGCGCCTGCAAAAGATTTCAAGTGTATTGCTACTACTCTCCAAGGGATACCGAAAGCGCCCTAACCCCGTTAGCAAATATTCAGTTATTTTTTTTTTATCTTTGACTGTCCAATGTCTTTATTTCTGGGGCTAAATATGGCGTGTGACTGGCGTGGGAAGGATTTTTTGGCCTGGCCCAGTCATTATGTTTGACTACCTTTGATTGTTATTGTCTGTTTACGGGTTGGATGCGAAATGGGAGTTGGTTATTTTTTTTTGGTTTTCTCCCTTCTCTTTATGACACTGGGCGAGAGCCAAACGCCGGTGTCAAATTAATTATAATTTCTGTATAACGTTCAAAAAAAGCAAAGAATCTGTCAGGGACAACAAGTCAGTGTAAAATGTTGTGTGTATAATCTAGGGAGGAAACAAGGTTGAATAGCTTCCAAATGTTCTGGCCACGAATGATCCCTGTGAGCGTTATAAACCAACTTTCCTGCAGATTGGCCCCTTGGGGGAGTCTGCCTTATACAAGGATGTGAAGAATTCAGCTTAGAAAGTTCTGCCGAAGTAGTTTAAACAGAGGAAGCACAATTGAGCCTAGAAAGCGAAGATTGATATTACCTGTAAATCCCTTCGCCTCAACAATCGCATTGTTTCAACCCCTTTTTGACATTAATGTCAAACAAACAAAGCAATGAAAACAGCGGACGAAGAATAACAACTCCAATGACCCTTCATCATGCACAAGCTAGCAGTTTGGTTTTTTTTTTTTTTTTTTTTTTTTTTTTTTTTTTTTTTTTTTGTTTTTTTTTTTGGCGCTGGATAGCGTACTCATGTTGGGTAACTATGTGCTCTTTCAATAAACTTTTTTTCATAAGACATTTGGTCTGGAGAACCCGTCCCTTTTGAAGGTTCGCAGAGTTTCATATTGGGGGGCCCTTTCGAATGCAGCTGTTGAACCAAATTGAACTCCCCGGTAGAATCCCAGTTGACTTTCACCCTTCGGCCAACATCTGTATAGCAAACGAGCAGCCCTACTAAACTCACTGAACAATTCAGTTCCGGGGAGGACACAGTTGAGCTGCTCCCTGATTTAGAGATTTAGGTCACCCGTTTCTTTTTGGAGTGAAATATCAAGGAGAACACCCTTTGGGTTTATGTCCGCGCCCAGGGGGAAGGGAATCAGTGGGGGGGGGGAAAAGGGGAAAAATCCAAGAAAGCCAAAAAAAAAAAAAAAAAAAAAAAAAAAAAAAAAAAAAAAAGGAAATAACAATATAAAACATAAAAAAACATACGAAAGCCCGGATTCGCTGGTGGTCACCCACCCAACTACTAACAAGGTGAGAAGCCAGGTGAGAAGCCAGGTGAGAGCGGGTGAGAATCCCCATCTCCGCTCTTCCCACTATCTGTATATGTGGAGGTTTATTTTTCCTTTTTCCTACTGGATTTTGAGCTGTTTCTCCCTTCGTGCCATCAATTAACGAGTTCAGTAATACAAGGCTGGGTGATCGAGCGCAAGTCAGTGCGCCACACCAGGAGGCGGGAATTAAACAAACATATTCTCATCAACATGAAATGTGGGCACCTACTCCGCTTTCCTAGGATGCAACTCTAGCGTCTCCTGCTAAGGCGCTGCTGTAGTGCCCATGTTCGGCGGCTAGGCCACGCACGGCCACATAGGTCTTCCCATCTTCGATATTGTTGATCCTGTTGCTTTTCCAGTGATGTATATGTGAGACTCTTCGGAAAGGCTGGACCATAGCTCTTTAAGAAGCTGATGATTACAGCCATTTATGTACCAGGCTCTGGGGGGACTACTTCGCATGTCCTGGAATGAAAAGATAGAAATTAGGAAACTGCAGTCATGGTACGTTCATCAATATATAGAACTCAGTTAAGTCATCGAACCTCAGGAAGACCGCTTCTCAAGTAAAGGAAACCAACCAGACTCAATAGTTCTCACGCTGCTATGTCTGTCCTCCCCGAGTTCACTGCTTGATGATTGATCTCATTTCCTGAAGTAAAGTATTCCCAGCCCTTATTACAGGTTCTTCCTAGCCTGGTCTTGTAGTTCGTTCAGGACCCTTTCTGTTTCAGCATCCTGGTCTTCCGCGAGAGTGTCGAAGCGAGCGGTAGCTAGTTTCGCATGAGTACCTTGCGGTTGTTTCTTGACCCATTCCCGTTAACCCGTGTTTTTCGCTTGCGAGGTAACTTGCAAAACAATATTTTGGTATCGTCTGTCAACTAGTTCTCCAGCGTCAAGACGCAGCTGGTAATCTGCGCCATTTTTGGTCGTCTGGGACGGAAGGATGCGGTTGCCGGAGGTGAATGTTGCACCCAGTTTTTTCGCAACGTCGTAATTCTTCCTGACTTTTGAGAAAAATTCTTTGATTTGTTTCGACATGGCGAAGGGATAATTCTGAGTCTGTTAGGGCATATTCTTTGAATTCTCGAGAAACAGAGTGCACCTCAAAGTAAGTAGGCCCTGTGTACCATACAACTGTCACCGGTATATCGTGATGGTCAGGAAGACGTGCGACTCAACGACCGATGTGCATTGATAATTCAACTACGATAACCCAGGATAAGTGGGCTATATTTATAGTTTATTTTCTTATTAGAAAGCATTGATTACCTTTCAGCTTCAACTCAGTAGAGCCTGAATGTCCGTCCCCGGGAGTCTCAATTAGCGCCAGGGCCTCCAATCAAAAGGCTTTGAGATAGCACCTTGTTTTGCGAGCCGCCAGTTACCAAATCCGAAACACTCAACGGCAAGCATGAAACCAATTTACTCGGACATTTGGTTTGAGATGATTTTGAGTATTCTGGAAAGGATGGGATAAATCACATCATAGGGTAGTGTGTCCAATCCAAGGGCTGCCGAAGTTGGACTGTCGACAAGCAATGTGGCAGGATGGCAAAAACACTCACCGCCTTAAGAAAGGGACATTTCGGAGCCGGTTCAACTTCACCTATTCAACAGACAATCTGCAATATGCTCCGATTCTGGCGACAGTTGAGACCCCCTTCGCCAGCAACCCTATTTCTCCGACTAGGCTGCTCCCCTCAGCGCAGCCTATCGGACATGGCACACGAACCTTGCCCCAGTTTCACTACATCCCTCCCAGAGGACTCATCCGAAGGAACATATTCGGAAGGGCCCACTCCACGTTAGTAGTACCATTTACTCCGAAGCGTGATGACCTGGAGAGGCATTGTCCTTGCTGACACTACACCGAAGGCAATGATCTTTATTCTTATACAGGTGGAAGGTGGCTTAATCGGGACGAGCTCGAACGAAACTCTCGCCAAATTCAGTTCGACTTCACTGCGCTCTGTGACAGGGCTATCCGCGTATGTCCAGGAGCAACCAAGGTTGTTGGGTATGAAAAGCGAGAGGGTGGGTTCAATAGAGTCTTTATTTTCGCAATGGACAATGGTTCTTGTGTTGTCGCAAGGTTGCCGACCAGTATTGCTGGCGCACCAAAGTTAACAACCAACTCGGAAGTCGCAACGATGACATATTGTAAGCCTGATTCACCTATTCTGTCCTTGAAAATTCAGCTCTCACGCTCACTGATTGTTGTTTCATATAGTGAAAACCAAGCTCTCGCTTCCGATACCGAAAATCCTAGACTGGAATGATGATCAGTCAAATCCAATCGGCGCAGAGTATATCATCCAGGAGCATGTAATGGGTGTCCAGTTGCACCAAATGTGGCCCAAAATGAATTCAGAACAACATATGCTTTGCACAAAGACGCTTTCATTGGCAATAAAAAAGATGGCATCCCTGGACTTTCCAGCTTATGGTAGTCTATACTTCTCAGATGCGCCGATAGACCCGAACAAGAAGGTTCCCTTCGAGCAAGGCTTCTGTATTGGGCCGAATTGCAGTCCTGTTTTCTGGAATCGGAATCCAGGGGAACTTGAACTCTACGGTGGTCCAAGTCCCAACTGCGGTCCCTGTTAGTTCTAGATGTTCTATCCTTTCTTCCACAACATTACTAACGCAAAGTGGGAAATTTAGGGAAAGACCTTACAAGCTATTATCTAGGCTTGATAGAGACCGGCTTCTCGCGGTTACCGAAGGAACCCGTCACCCACGAGCTGCTTCCTCATCAAGGGTCCGTTGAAGATCACATTCGTTTATTGAAAATCAGCGAAGAAATGATGCAGAGGTTGGTTGAAGACAAACGCATTCAGGACGCTGCTACTCCAACTCTGCTCCATCCTGATTTTCACATGAGGAATATCTTTGTGTCAGCCGAGGAACAAACTCTCATTACTGGCATAATTGACTGGCAATCTACAAGCATTGAGCCTGCTTTTATTTACGCCAACGAGACGCCTGATTTCGCTGCACTTCCTGAGGAACCGGGGGAAGACACATTCAAGAGCGGACGTTCCGAAGAAAAGCCTCCTGGCTGTAAGGAACGAGAGTTGAAAGATGCGTCAATCTGTTATCAGACATATGATGTGTGCATGAAGGGACTTGCACCTAAGTTACGCCCTGCAAGACTACTTGACCCGTCTTTGTTTCGACTCTTCCAATACTGTCACACGACATGGAGGGACAGTGCCGCAGCACTCCGCCAAGAGTTAATTGAGCTTTCAGCTCGCTGGACAAAATTGGGGCTTCAGGGAGCTTGCCCATTTTCTCCGACCGAAAAGGAGGTGAAGGAGCACGCTAGAGATTATGAAGATTTTGAGACGTTCCAAAAACTTAAATTATGGCTAAAACACTCCCTCCATACGAACTCCGATGGGTTGGTTCCGAATGATAAATGGGACGCCGCGAGAGATGCTCATCGCGCAGCGTATGACCAATGGATGCAGACGGCTAGAGAATCTGAGTCTCGTGGCGAGGGTCTGACAGTGGCAAAAGCGGACAAACTGTGGCCATTTGATGCTAGATAACGGAAATCCCGCTGAAATCAAGCTCTACCGAATGCTTCTTGAGAAGTATTATTGTCAGACAACAGGGATTTTATTTTCTAGATCCTTAATAGAAGAGGGCACTTTTCCAGCATTTGGCTACATCTGGAATTTATGGTAGACCCCGTCTGCCTTGGAGACCTCTCCGTCATAGTCCCACCGCACCCCTAGTCTTTTCCTGTTCTCCCTGAGCCTTTGGGAAAGCCGTTTTCCCACGACCTGCACTTGGGTTCGTGAATTGCTTCCAAACATTTCCCTTGACGGCCTTGCGAAGTGCATTTTTAAGTGCCTTCTGCATCCTGGATGTGTGGTAATGCTAACGGTTAACTTGATCAAAAGTGAGGGAATATCAAAATATTCCAGGACCTAGGAAAGCCGTAGAACTAGGATATTCGGTGTCCAAAGAAACGATTATTGAGCGATTCATTGAGGCCTCGGGCCGGTGGTGATATGCATGGTCGTATCCTGGACGATCAATGCTGGTTGTATCAGGATTCCGAGACCGACTCTTTCTGATCCCCTGCCGGGGAACTTTGCGCCTTTTATCCTCATTTTGTTCCGTTCCTACAACGGCGTTAGGACTTCCAGATATTGAACGTAAATATTCAACCGCCTTACCGTTCATCTTCGCCTCTCTCTTCCTCTTGTTCCTCAGTGCAGACTTCGTGAGAGGTCGCTTGAGCGAGGCTTCTGTCTCCTGGGAACTTGCCCAAAGTTCGTCTGCTATCTTTTCCCCCAACACATCTAAACCGTTGTCCGTGACAGCTTCGTCAATACCATTTTCATGGAGACTTTCGACAGCGGAGGAGAAATATCGGGAGAATTCCCTGCCCGTGTATCTTGAGATGGTTTAACATCCAATTTCGTTTCGCTACGAAGAGAATGGAACCTACTGGTATTCTGTGACTGTCAAAGGTAATATAAGCAAGTACCCGGGTCCACCTAACTCTTCGGCCGACTTGTTGTACGCACGACCAAGCCGAACGTACTCTTCAAGCAGCTCGTCTGCATCTAGGGAGGGATGCTTTTTTTTTATCTGCGCCCGAGCTGCACACAAGCATCCCTACACCATCTGTCTCCAGTATGATACCCAAGCTCTTTTGCCAAAAGAAAGAGGTTGCGGAATTCAAGTCGTCGATGTAGGAGATGCATTTGGAGATAGATGTCGCGAATCTTCTCATCTTGAATATCGTCGCGTTTTTGGTGTAGACTGAAGAACGCACCTGCCAATCCACCTGCGGCTTGGGCTCCATTACGATCAGTTGACTTCAAAAAGATTTGTGGGTTACCCTGGTGTTTGATGAGGGCGCTATATAGGCTAGTCGATATTGAAAGGGGGCGATAGAGTTCAATTCGTTGATCAGGGCTGCTAGAGTTGCGATGAGATTGACTGTGGTCGACAGTATCGCCAAGGTCGGAATGGGAGGCCTCATTTGGTGTATCATTGTCGTTAATTGGTGACGGGCTCTCGCCGCGGTCGCTAGGTGGGCATAGATCTTCACGATGATCGTTGACCGCCGCCTTACTCTCGTAATGGCAGTTGAGTGCAGCATTACCTTTGTCAGTTGGTATATGAATCGGCTCCTTTTGCAGACGTTTGCCCATCATGAGGAGGAGTCTTGAGAAAACCAGCAGGCTGGGCGCTGGCAGACTCTGAACACATTTGGTGCATTGTTCAGGAGGTAGTTTTGTCTCTATCTTGTTGAGAACGAGCCCAATTCTTTCGAAAAGGTCATTGAGCTCTGCGGCAAGTAGACCAGTTGTGTCTTCCATTCTTGATGGATGGGAGAAACCCAGGCTGAGCCTGAGGACATATTGATCACGTCGTCTTACCTGACCCCTTCCCAGTCTCGTGGAACTCTCCTGCGGGACAGCCAATCATATTCGACCGGCTAGCGTTGATACGTACCATCTCACGCTTATGCAGTCAGTATCACCTTCCCATAAATCAGGCAATGATAGGCGGCATTTACGTGTATGGGGAGACTAGATCCTTCATCGGGAAGGTGATTCGCATTTTTTAAGTACATATAAACCCTATAATCAACCTTCCTCGTCCCCTTCTCTTCCAAATCGCTGGACTTCGACTTCCGTGCACATTCACTTTCTTAGGTACAGAAAAGCTTTCAAACATTTCGACTCCCCAATCAGGAAGCTGGTGAACCCCGTCTCTTCTAACTGCTCACCCAAAATGAGTCTTCCTATATCGGTGGCACCGGCAAGAGAACCCCAAGCTATCATCTGTTCCTCTCGGCGCTCTTTAGTCACTTTAAGTGAGATCGATGAGAACTCGGGCCTTAACTGAAGATTTTGGGCCCTTTCTACACTTAGAGCACCGCAAATGAGAACATTCTTTTTGGGGCAGACGTGACCTCCTGCACTAGTAAACGACGCGTTCCATTGATATGCAAAGCGCAACCATATCCTCTAGGCATTGCTGGCCAATAATACTATCCAATGAGGTTTCCGTAAAAAGCAATTCTCTAAGACGAGCGCGTTCTGGTAGGTACTTCTTATATATGTTGAATAAAGAGGTCATGTCGCGTTCCGTGAATTCATTTCCGGAGATATATTCGTCGTATGCAGAATGCCATCAATTTTGTATGAAGTCCTTCTTCCAAGCTTCTAGGTGTTTAGATTTTCTGTTGTGGAGTTGTGTCCGTTTGACAGTAAGTTGCTTATGAAGCTGGGGCTTCCCAGCAGTTGCTGAAGCCAGATAAGCAATTCTCTCATTTATAACCTTGATCTCGTCTCTCTCTTCAAATGCTGCGATAGCAGCCGCGTCTAATTTCTGGGGAGCATTGGGATCTCTGTGGTGAGCCATGCTCTGTTCCATGTTTCGGCAATCATAATCGGGTTCCAAGTCATAGAATAAGGCCTGGATATCCAAAGACTTGAGCACAGATTGGTTTTTAATATATGTGTCATGACTTTGATGGTCAAAAGCCTGGCTGTGAGTCGCCTCCGACGCCTTAGCTAAGTGAAAATTAGCACAGAAACTATAAGGAGAATCAAATTGCTTACAATCAATGCAGTTTGCATCACCACCACAAATTCCGTGTACCCGTAGTCGGTCTTTGAAGCCCTCGCGCTGAGCTAGACTCGAAAAATTGTGGCGCAGAGAGGAGAAGGACAACACTTTATTCCACTGTGGCCCTTCCGGAGTCACCATCCTAAAGAAAGGGCGCCCTTTTTCATTCTGGTTCCATTCAAGCATATATGATTCTCTCCCTTTTTGGAGGTCTCACAGCGAGAACATCGGCCACCATGCTGAGCCCCTTAAAAGCACCATCAGCTACACCATGCACTATTACCCAAAAAACAAAACTCATTCCGAGAATTGAGTGTTCTCTAAACCAGTTCTTTGGTCTTGGTTCTTTCGAGTCAGCATTCAAACTTCACAGTAACATATATGCAGTCTTACAAGTCTTTATCGTCGCGATAGCGCCATCCTTTTAGAAACTCAGCATCAATCGTCACCCAGCGTTTGATTTGACCATCAGTGCCTGATTTAATATTAAAGGTAAGATGCTGTGGACCTTCTATTAGTTTGACTAGTCTCTAAGGCGGGAAAGCGGAGGGGAAGGCATAAGGCAAAACAAACCCTGTAATATAGACATTCATTGGAGTTACAATAAGCACTTGACTCCATCACAGCACCTGCCCTAGAACCTGAGCCAGCAAATAGTGCAAGAGCACTCCCTGTTTGTACACATGCTCTCTTGTGCTTGTAGTCATGCCAATCATCGCCGAAAAGACCACGAAGAAGATAACCAATGTCTTTTGATGTGACCATGAAGCGCTCCCGTGGCTTTGTGGGTAGGTCATATTTGACTGTCAGGTCCTGCCTGATGTACTTTTAACTTGTTAGAAGAAATATTTAATGCCAAGGACATTCAAGCAGTCTTATGTTCAAAACATCATCCTTGATGTGGTCTGACAGAGACCCAGAGGTCTCTCACTCCCATCATGAAGTAAAGCTAATAAAATTCTGACACGCAGAGTTCTGTGAAGGTAGCTTTTTTTCTTGTTGCAATACAGACTTCAGCAAAAAGATTTCAGAAGTTGTGGGGTGGGGTCAGGTTCATTTTTGGAAAAATTGGCATCAGTTACTTCATTACAAGAAAGTCTCCATCTGCTGAAATAAGTGTCACATTGTGAACCTGTCAATAGCATAACTTACAATGCCCAATCTGCTGCATCTTCATTACTTCTGCAGAGTAGCCGAAGCAAGCTCTTCGAGGCATATAGTGTTTCACAGGTGAAACCATGTGACGCAGCACGTGCAACTCTTTCATCAAGTTTCTTTTGGAGGTCCTTTGGGAGCATCTTCTTTCAAATAGCCGAGTGTTAAGAGAATAATAACAGCAGCCCAGACATGCGCCCTGGGACTCATGCTTATGGCCCGGACTCAAGTGGGAGAGTGGGTGATCTGGGTGAGAATCCACACCCGGTTCTCACCCACTCTCACCCCATTCTCACCTCTTATCACCCCAGTCTCCAAACTTCTCACCCATATCACCCACACTCACCCTAAGATCAAATCCCACACCATTTTAGAGCTCAGGGCACATTGAGAACTGGCCGCGTACTATATGGGGCTTGAGTACGGCTGAGCGGACGGGAAGCCCTATTTTCCACTCCCTATGTTCGTATGTGATAGAGGAGGTGATTCTCTCATCTTTTATAGTGGCGGTTTCTTATTTTGACATCGCGGGTGTCGTCTCGATTATTCAGCGGTAGGAATTTTAGCCCAAGCAGTTGCAGCAGCCGCAATTTTATACAACGTTCATGTTGCCATACAATTGGCTCAACCCAACGTAGGAGTAGGATACATCTGGCAATAAGCCGGTCTGCTTATATTAGAACGATTTGGTCAAGGTAAGATATAATATTGTACGTAGCGCAAAGGTATAGGGAATGCCAACTTCGTTAATTTCCTTTTCTGGAAGCTCCTGGACACGAGACCCTAGCCGTGTATCATATTTACATCCAGGTTTGATTTTCTTCCTTTTCTTTCCATTACAAGTGTCGACATGATGTTATGATTTAAATGTCAGATGGTTAGTCGATTGTATTCTTTTTCTTCCGAATGGGTAGAGAAATATTTTGGGACTATGTGGGGTTTGAATTCTAATTAGCAGTTGGCAGGAAAAGATTAAATACCATCCGTATATAATTTTCGCTCATAGTAGTATTTGCCAGAGAGATACCAAGCAACCAAGAATAATTTCTTCCTCTGATCAGGTATAATGTTCTGGCGATACTCACATTTTTACGTATTTCGAGCTAAATTGCGGAGTCAAAACTGATTTTAAGAACATCGAAAATAAAAAGATATGCACCAGGGTCCGTATCACACTTATATCGCCTTGATCATCCGCGCCCAGCCCTTATACTTCACATGTCACAGAAAAGAGATAAAAAGAGATTTTTGAGAACGGAGCTTACAATGTTGGGTTATGGTACAGTGAAATTGCGCTTGCCTAATGCTCCAGCCAGTCGCTCTCCGCATTTGACTCGAAGGACATTCCGCAAAAAAAAAGTACGAAGCGGAACGAAAGAAGGTGAACAGAAAAACGGGAGGGCCCAGTTTGAGAGAGTAGCTGGATGATGAAGTCGCAGGTTTGTTGCACTCGTTATGGAAACAAAGAAATGACTAAGAATCTCAAATTTCCGGCGTTGCCATATCGATTACCATGCATTGACTTCGAAATTTTCCTGTATTACGTTAGATAAAGATTTACCTTGTCAAGAAATTTTCAATTGGGAGAGCTCAACTTACCTCTGAAAAGTACGTAGTAACAACGGTGCGATCTTGGAATTTCCTTCCTGCAAGCGCCCTGAGTGCTTTCGTGGCTGACTCACTATTATCAAATTTAACATAGATTTTGCCAACGCCAGCAGATTGCTTGTTATTTCCCGTTGGCCTTGGTACTTTTAGCTCCACAACTTCCCCATATTTTGAGCATTCATCACGGACGTCATCGCATATTTCTATAGGAAACATTAGTGAATATGAAAAGCGTGGCCATGAGATAATATAGAACATAAGGCTTCGTACCTTCATAATCATCGTTGTCAATCAGCTCCTCAGTAGTTACCATGTTCAGCAATTGAAGAACACGACTTGCTTCAATGTCCTGAGATGTCGTTTTGGCGTACATGGACATGGCATTAACGCCCATGTCAAGGCCAGCAGCTTGTGTAGTTCCTATACTTGCACGGACCACTTTAAGTTTCTTGTTACCAAGTTCCATGCCATTCAAGTTTTCAACAGCGATGTCAGTCGACATCGGGTCACGGTACTCGCAAAATGCAATTCCCTATATACCAGTTAGCGTTTATAATGCAAAGTTTCGAAATGGCACGTTTACCCTAGACTCGCCCGTCTCACTATCCTTCACAAGGACAAACGACTTAAGTTCCCCAAATGAAACTAGGAGCATAGTGACCGGCTCTTCCTCGATAAATGGTGGAATATTCGATACACATATCTTGTTTGGAGAGTCAGGAACCACGTTGGAAACAACGCCCTCCTGATGGGGTTCTCCTTCAACTGCAGATGGAAGTATGTAGTCCTTAGGTCGGCGTATTGAAAGTCCTTGGTTTGACCCATTCGAATTTCCATTCGTTGTATCCATTTCATCATTATCTTCCATAGTAATACCATCAAAAGCCAGCGCAACAGTGGTATCTGCAGCATTTCGGAACTCAACTAAAGCGAATGTTTTATCATTGGATAGTTGCGCGGTCACGCATGGATCAACCCCTTTGATGACGTTAAGACCATTCAGCTGGAGGTTGAAGAACTGCACCAAGCTCTCCTCCGTGGCTGAAGACGGGAGGTTATGAACAAACAGTCGCTTCGCTTGGCGAGAGTTCGAAGGTTTTAGGACGGTATTGGTAGATGTGCCAGGAGCAGTACTAGTAGTAGGTGGATGAATGAAAGCTTGTAATCGGCTGGGATCAACTGCCTGCTGGCGCGGTGCACCTGGTAGAGGGAACATTCCTACAGGTAACGTTAGGTACTTCAGATGTGCATCATATCACTACATATTTCAACTTACCAGAGAGCTTTGCTTGTTCCGCCGTTACATGTTCATAACCAGGCGGTTTGATATCCCACTGCGTCAGTCGACGTTTCCGCTCAAGGACAGGAACAACGTCCGTCAAATCTGGAGTGGGTTCCCTCTTTTTTGGTGGTGGACTCGCACTTCGCTTCCGCTCCCGACCCCCGGCAAATGCATCGCGATCTCGACCTCTACCTCCTCGGGACCGGTCATCTGGCACGTCTCTGTCGCGTCGAGAAGATCTGTCATCTTCGTCCCTCCTATGATCACGCCGTCTGTCACTTCGGTCTCTATCCCATTCTCTCTCATCTCGTCGGCCTGAATATCTGTCCTCCCGCTCCCTTGCGCGATAGTCACGACTTGAGGAGTACAAATCCGGTTCCTGTTCGCGCCGTCCCGACCTTGATGGATGTTGAGGCGACCTTGATCTTCTTCTCTCTCTCTCTCGTCTGTCACCGCGGTCGCCACGGCTACTACGGTCATTTCGGTCCTTTCGATCCTCTCGATCAGAGCGAGCCGCCCCCTAGAGAAATACAAGGTATAAGCAAAGTACAGAAACCTCTGTCTAGGTAGAAAGGATTGGTAACATACGTAATATTCCCGAGATCGTCCAGAGTCTATAAGACGTCGCAAGTCAGCTATGCTATCGTTCATGGTTCACTCCAGGCGAACTTTTACCCTTACCTCTAGCTGCGTAGCTATCCCCGTTCATCTTGTCAATTCGACGGAAAACTGAGGAAAGGATTCCAAATTCAACGGGCAGGTCCAACAGCGTAATTTGAGAATATCAGACGCCTGGAATTAATTGTAACAAGCCGAAGCTTCACAGAAATCAATGGTTGAGAACGGATTGGGAATGGATCGGGTGCCCAGCTCGCTGCCAATATAAAAAGTTGGTGAGTGTGAGGAATTGATATTGAGCGCTGAAGATGGCTTGGCGCGCGAGCCAATAACAGTCAGTCACGTGTTTTATTTATATCAAAGGGGCAAAATATTTACATGGTACAAAGGTTACCGTAGCTATTGCCATGACCTTGGGTTTCGATCCACAGACATGTCTATTGGTGCGTTTTCTGAATGGCGAAAGCTGCCGATAAGTTTGACTGAGCTCTGTATCAATACTACTCTCCGCTGCGGACAGTCATTTCGGTGAGAAACTCTCCGTCCGATTATCGAATATCCGGGCGCATCTACTAACAAGATCCTTTTGTACGAGAAACTCAGATGGCAGCAGTCCGGAGACAACGAATGGAGCTGCGCCCTTTATGGTCGCATTGTGTCCTTGCGACAGGATCCCACCCATCTCCATTATCGGTCATATTTTCCCCCAATTCCACCTGCATTGCCGACTCCTCCATCCTCCGTACCAGCATCAAGAAGAGAAGAGTCGTGTGAGAAGATTGATGATACGGAAGCATTGATCAACAACTACTTCAACTTGGACCTGAATCTTACGGACCTCTATGAACAATGGTCAACTGCTGATAAAAATTTCAAGAAGAAAGCTCCCAAGTTCGCTGGTATCCGGATATTACGGCAGGATTCTTGGGAGGCACTTATTTCGTTTATTTGCAGTAGCAATAATAATATAGCGCGAATCTCACAAATGGTATGTATATGTCTTATAACAGCGCGATATACCTCTTTCGGACTAACACAATCATTTTTGTGCGTTAGGTGGAAAAACTGTGTTTGAACTATGGTCCACTGATCGGATACATAGACAAGAAACCATATCATGATTTCCCGACTCCTCAGGCACTTGTAGGTCGTGATGTTGAAGCACGCCTCCGTGAGCTTGGGTTCGGATATCGGGCAAAATATATTTACCAAACTGCCCTTATTGTTGTTAACGATCGTGAGGAAGGTTGGTTGAATTCTCTCCGTAACCCCGAGTGCCCATCGTTCGGCCAAAGCCCGGCGCATGCAGGGGAAATGGCAGAGGGAGGTAGAGAGGGGTATCGAAAGGCTCATGAGTGCCTCCTTGAGCTTCAAGGGGTTGGTCCCAAAGTTGCAGATTGTGCGTGCCTCATGGGTTTAGGTTGGGGAGAGGCCGTTCCGGTCGATACTCATGGTAAGCAACGGATTTCCATTTCATCGTTTCACGAATCCGTTCTTTTGTTTATGCGTTATTTCTACATAGTATGGCAAATTGCGCAGCGCGATTACAAGTTCGGCAAAGGAAAGCATAAAAGCTTAACGAAAGCAACTTATGATGCGGTGGGCAACCACTTCCGAAGTCTCTGGGGAAAGGAGGCTGGCTGGGCCCACAGCGTGTTGTTCGCGGCAGACCTAAAAACATTTTCGGAACGTTTAACTTCCAAAGTTGAAGTGGATGTGAAGAATATCGAGAAGCAGGAGCACCGAATAAAGATCGAGACCACCAAGCAGGTTTCAATCAAGAGAGAAATATCCGATGATTTTGAGGAGACGAAGGCACATATTGAAAAGGTGGAAACTGAATCAAAGCCCGTCACAAAAAGACGACGAACAGCCAGGGGAGATGAAGCATCTTACCGACGGCAACGAAAATAACTAATAGCCAATACACTGGCAGCAGCTCTTCACGCTTGAGCCCCTTCCGTTGACTCGGAGTATCTACGTTATGCGGCCGATTGTTGCGCCGTATTCGAGTTTGAAGACCTCACGGATCTCGCTTCGAAAGCGAAGTATAACTGTGGGTAAAAATAATTCGCAGACAAGTATCCACCACCAGGTTTCTATTTTTTCCACATAAATCTCCCAGATGTTTGTATCCAGGAATCGTCCCACTGTTCGATAACTCAAGTGACTAGAGTAAAATACCTGAAGACTTTGTCCAGAAAACAAGACGAAATGCGGCATTAGTATCAATTACCTCCTCAAATACTTTTATCTGGAGGGCCACAGTTAAGCATGGCTCGAGGGATCCGAGCAAGTTAGACAGACGAAATGATAGAGCATGACCGATCCGGAAACCCCTCAGATCGACAGGAAATTTACACCACCATGTTCGTTAGGTTAGGCAATGAAAAGAAAAACTGTCCGCCACCAATGGCTGGATCCAATGCCTATTGAAAGTCAAATCCACAAAAATAAACCAGTTGTTCTCCCACATCTATGGGCGAGAGCTCCGGAATATAGTAGGAGGGGCAATAGAGACATAGAATTTGATTAAACGACAAAGCAGACTATATATTCTCAATCACCAAGCCTGCCTGCATGCCGGAAGTACCCCTCGGCTCTCTATACGAACTGATAAGGCTTTAACACTGACTTGAAGAATCAAACAACGAACCCGGTTGAAACAGATAAGTTAAGATATAAAAAAGCACGACCTTTACCACCTATGCCTCCGGAGGCTTAATATCATTAATAACCTTGTCAAATGCTTGGATTATTGGTCCATACAGAACCTCCGGGTCTTCGGGTGTCACCGTGAAGAGGCCGTTCCTGTAGGGAAACAAGATTCACCTCAATTCCTTGCAGAGCGGTTTTACACATTCAAAAAGATTGCGGAAATTCTTCCAGGATATCCTCAAATCCATCAACGTGCATATGTCCTCGTTTAGCGCTAGCGACCTCCCGATAGTTACCAGTGTACCATTGTCAGTAGACTTGCCTTTGGCTGCTCTTTGGAGTTTGTCCAGCCACGACAACCGCACAACCAAATAAAAACGTAAAACAATGACTCGAGATCATGCCGATAGGTTTGAGAGATCCCAAGTAGCACCCCAATCGCCATAAACTCCATTGTGCCGGTGCGACAGCGCGCACCGCTGCGGCTGCTGCTAAAAAGATCAGAAAAGCCATGCTCTCAGATGTTGTATATATCATCAATGAATACAATGCTAGATATATTACCACTAGATACCATCAATATATATCATCATCATCATCATCGCAGATATCATCACTAGATATCTGATAGTCTATAGATATAACATCACAACTATTGCTGTCTCCGAGATACGTATGGGAAAGAGGTGGTGTTGGTGGTGTTTTGTGTCATGTGATCAGGAACGGGCCTAACAGCACTGAAAATAGGATGCTCTGGCCGCACTTATCTCAGCATGCTCAGCCTCTTTTCTCGATATTTTCAGATTAGTGCGATCAACTAAACTTCTTTAGACTTCTGCCAAGTCCTGCTAACTTCTGGACCAATCAATTACTCCACACATGCTCACAACATAATATCTCGTAGAGAGTCTGAGAAGAAACGGTTCCATCGTCTGTGGAAAATCAAACCTGCTCATACAAAATATTCAGTTGACTTCAGAATCATACATCTACCTTAAATATCTATCTGATCATCATCAAATTGATATTTTTTGAATCCTTAGCCATCTCACTATCATCTCTGCTATTTTGCAACTTGCTACCTCTTCTCATCATGCCACAACCATTGACCGTGTCTTTTGAATCTCAAGACACTCAACATCAGGCGCGGTTCAACCAATATCCTTCATCACTTGAAGATGAATCCTCTCAACAACCACTACACTCTCTCAATGATCTAGATGATGGATATGAGACATCAGATAGTGATTTAACAGACCTTGAATCTATTGATACTTCTTCAGAATTCGAGACCACTGGTATCAATACCCCACCAGCTTGTTCACAACCAAACACCCGTGGCCCACAGCGCCTGCCTACTATGCCTCATAACCAGCAGAAAAAACGTTCAAAATTATCTCATGTTGTCAAAGCATTACAGCGAAATGGTTGAGGAATGGAAGCTTTTATAGATGCTTGGATTCAGAGTTCTGATATCTTAACTCATAAACGATACTGTACTCCTGCAAAGCGGCGGAATGCACTATATTCAGCACTCTCAAAGTCAGAAGCATTTCATGATCATCACCATTATATTGCCTTGCTTAAACAGGAGCTGAAACACCTTATCAATACTCCATACTTTGCAAAATTCAACCATGGTGTTGATCTTGATACCATTGATTTCCAGGCTGCTTTTGAGACCATCCGGACTGATGCATCAACCTGGTTTAAACTGCTTACTTCTGTTCTAAAGAATAAACGTGCAAATCGAAAGAGCTATGAATGGGCCTCAGATGAAACAACAGCTATCAAACGACTGTTATTATGAATATTATATGCCACTCTTATTCCTTGAAGAATTCAAACTTCTTCAGCTCTATTCTCTCTGCATATTTTCATAGCTCAGGAGTAAAACAATGAGTGATAGAAACGATTTCCAGCTTTGAACTCTGTCTCAGCTATGTGATGGGAAATAAATTGATGACAGAAATTGCTAAACAGAAGAAGGTATGAGTTGATATTCTTAATTTATTAATATTTCTATCTAATTTTTCAAACTTTTAGTAAAAACTGATAATCTCTGTTCTTTTCTGACATGTTCTTTCCACTTCTGTTAACTTCTGAGCCAATCATTTGACTAATTCTTATCATTAGATGAAACTTCGGCAGCTTGTCAAAGATCCTCAAGCCGTTATAGTCTATGACAATATGAACTTCAAAGAGACTGTATGAGATGAGATGATTGGGCATAATGATTACATGGCTGCAGTGACTACTGCTGCAGTGGTTATTTCCCCTGCAATTCCAAAATCTGGTCTGACTCAGATCATGCATGATTCCACAAGACTTTTAACACTGAAAGAGATCATTGATGCACCTGGTGTGGCAGGCAATGATTATGCTTGGAAAGTGCTTGCTCTGGACTGAGTAAGATATGTGTATATTCATACTGTTGGATACGTTTAAGTAAGTGCTCTTCTCCCTGGAGATTGTTGGCACTGATCAGACAAGGATTGGTAGAGGGAAACTGAGCTATATCACTTGTCTGCTGATCACCAAGCTTGTTTAGAGGAATCAGTTGAATGGTTATCTTCTCTGTCAGAATTGTATAGAATTGAAGAATAAGACTCTTTCCATAGCCAGTTCTGGCAATGAATAAAGTGTCGCCATATCCATATATCATGCGTCGGAGTATACGGACTTGTTCTATGTGTGGCTGAAGAGTGCACTTAGGATCTGGACGCGGGCTTTGAAGGATTCGTCGAAGACAATGCTCAATAACATCCTGTTGCTTGTCGATACTTTCGGGTTCAGTGTAGCTCATAACAACTTGTGGCATGTCTTCAATTTTCATGGAAAGTATTTGCTTTAATGATAGCTTTTGAAGCCGCTGTTGTTGCTGACTTTTGCGTTTTCTTCAATCCCCCTTAGCCATATTCAACAGAGTTGTCTGACCCAGCTGTCAAAAAGAGGTGTTATGTGATTGGTTCAGAAGTTGTTGAAAGATCCCAGATGTTGTCAGAAGTTGATGTGCTGTGTGAAGTGGTCAAGAGTTATGTGAAGTTGACGGAAGTTGCCAGAAGTTGTTGGACATCATCAAAAGATGTCAGAAGTCATCAGAAAATACACTCAGTGCTTTGACTAGAGCTACTGATGACCAGATATGTGTTTTGATGACAAGATCAAGGCATTGAGTGACTAGACATGATCATGGTTGAAAAATTAGCAAATCGTTCCCGTGTTCAAAATCAGAGTAGCAGTTTTCAACGCGATACTTCATACTCACAATATATGTATTTTTGAATAAAAATTAGTTCAATTGATAGGAAATTGGAAAATTAACCCTTCAAGGTGGTAGAGAAATGATCTATAAGTGAGGTTGTACAGTGATTCTATCTCAAACGTTATGGTTGGAGCAAATCGTTCCCGTGTTGCTAACAAACTGGAACCGTTTTTTCTCAGACGCTCCGCGAAGAGTTTGCTGAGGATGTCCCATTTAGGTTTAATGTAAGCCCCTTGACAGTTGATTGGCTCAGATGTTAGCAGGACTTGGCAGTAGTTCGGATCGGGTTAGCTCGAAGTGGAGTGGCTGAGTTTTACTGAGATAAGGCCGCACCCAGAAGTAATTATTGATCCGGACTGTAATAGGAATAGTCCCCCAAACGGACTACCCAATCCACCCAATCATAACATCATGGGTACGGTACGTGCTGGAAACTCAGTCGCGGCTGATTAAGCAGCTTGGCTCGAAACTGTGGTTGTCCCCCTTTGCAACGCTTCTCTAGCTGTGTGATTCCTCTCTCTTCTGGCTTCCTCACTCCCGTCCACTCCTTCACACCAGCAGTCGCCCTGCTCTTTGGGCATTATCGCTCCTTTTTCCCTTTGTTTATTCGACAATGGTGTGAGGATATCCGCTTGACGGGTTTTTTGAATATCGATTCTTTCTTACCACACGCTCGTTTTGAAAATAACCCGTCCTGTATGTACCATCTCTCCTGCTTTCGTCCGATAACCAAGCCTTTCATTTTGGCTTTGGATTAACTCTACCTACCTCTACCTTCGAAGGTAAGGCAGTACCTGTGTCGCTGCCGGTGGAGTGGTGGAGCGATGAGGGCCTCGTCACTGCTTGAGCCAGCGACGGCGAGTTTTGTCTCTCTCCTCTGTCGTTCCGCTTTTTTCGCCCTCGCACGCTTGCCCTCGGCGATCAGTGCTGCCCAGTTCACCCCTGTTGCTCTGCCAGATCTTGATATTGGGCCCTTGGGTCGAACCTCCTTGACTGGCAATTTTGATGCCATAAGCCTGTTCCAATTCGAGGAACAGAGACCGAAACCCGTCCTACCAAACGGATCCCGACCTCATTCCCTCCTTTCCACGTTGCCAAACGGTTCCCTGGCTTCAGTCGTTTCGTCCGACGCAGACATATTGTCACTCTGCCCGTTGAGAGCAGATGATGGTACGATTACTAGTGTCGTTGTTGGGGGAAACTTTACTAGTCTGGCTGGAGTCGAAACTCATGGAATTGCTCTTGTCGACGCAAAAAATTTTAGTAAAGTTACCCCGATATCTGGTCTATCGGGCCAGGTCTTCGCTCTGCTTTGCGATGAGACGAGCGGAAATGTATATGTGGGCGGAGCGTTCAAACAATCTGAATCCCAAAATGCTATTATGTGGTCGCCAAAGTCTGGCTTTTCTTCTCTTCCCTTTGCTGGCTTCAACGGACCCGTAACAGCTGTCACCAAAGCTTCTGACGGCCACGTTATATTTGGAGGCTCATTTGACGGTTTGGGAAACGCGACAACACCAGCTCTGAAGGATCAGCAGGTCGTTAATCTCGAAACCGCATCAATTACTTCTGGGTCTAGTGGACCTGCGTCCAGCGATCCTCGGAATGCAATCTGTAAACAGGGCAAGACGGGAGACGCTGCTAATCCATGGCTACTTCCAGATAACTCCCCAGGATTTTTGCGTGCTGAGATGAAATTTGGATTCCAGCCAACGAAACTCAGGTTACGAAATGCGCTATCAGATGGAAGAGGGACGAAGACTTTCCTCTTTAGGGCAGTGCCTGACAATGGAATACTAAATATGACCTACATCGATCCTGCGACTGGTAACACCATGGCTTGTGATGCAAGATGCCCTCTTTCCAACGATCTGTCGGAAGCCTCTCGTGATTTCAAATTTGTCAATGTGGTTGGCATGAATGGTTTCCAAATCGAAGTCTCCGAGTGGTATGGTGCAGGTGGAGGCTTTGACAGCGTCGAACTCTTTCAAGACGGTATGTATTTTCAAAATGTTTGAATAAGGAATGTCAAGTTAATGCTTTCCTAGATATTTATATTCATGCGGTCGATTGGTTCAACGAACCTACATGTGCTGGAATCGCTTCCCGATCCCAAGCCAGCGCGACAGGCAATTGGGCAGTTACGCCATCTCACCAGAGCTCGTCCGAGTATTTAACAGCCAATGTCGCATCGACCGATCAGACCCCAACATCAGTGACTTTCAACCCAGACATAAAGCAATCGGGAAATTATTCAGTTCTCGTTTTCACTCCTGGATGTATTCCAGATAATACTTGCCCCAAGCGCGGAATAGTAAACGTTACCGCAACCTTGTCTCCCGATAGCGACAAACAAATACAGACGTTCCTAGCCCAGACGAATAATTATGACAAATATGATGAAATACATCTTGGATTCGTTGATGCCAGCAACCGCAAGTTTCGACCATCAGTGAAACTCGCCCCAAAAACTGGCCAGCAAGATGTTACCGTTGTTGCCTCTCGCGTTCGATTCCAACTCATATCATCGACTGGAGGCCTGAATGGCCTTTTCGAGTTCGATCCGACAACCAAAGAAGTTGATTTAGACTTTTCAAAATCCTCCATAAATAAAGCGGGAACTGATTTCAACCCCGAGGCATCCATAACAAGTTTAGCTAGCCGTGATGATACTATTTTTGTCGGCGGTGCTTTCTCTGGTCCCTCATCCGAGAACATCATGCTTTTATCCAAGGGGAAACTTTCTTCTTTACCAGTGGTGGCCTGAATTCCCAGGTGAATGCCATGCTCTTGCTCGACGACACGCTTTTCGTTGGAGGGAATTTCTCCGCCACATCGGCCAATGACGAAGGTGGCGATAAGGAAAACAGGCTAAATAATGTTGCATTACTTTCTCTGTCGAGCAGAGCGTGGAGTCCTTTGGGGGCAGGAGTAGATGGTCATGTGGAGTACATAGTAGAATTTTCCGTGAACCTGACAGAAAACAAACCGGAAATCGCCGTTGGCATCAGTGGAAACTTTACCCACACCCTTCCATTTGAAGATAATCGTTCTAGCCCAGTTCAAGGCTTTGCGGCCTGGGTCCCTTCTAGAAACAATTGGTTGCATAATCTCGACGTTAGCCATCATGTTTTTACTGGAGAGCTCACCGCAACGATTACCGACAG